CAGACTTTAAAGCTTTTCCATTTCGGAAGTGGGCAACCAGAAGGTTGCCATGGAAACGAGTAGTGGCGGAAGTTGGGCCCCTGAGGCGATGTGGGGCAGTGTGGGGCGGAGTTAAGCAGGGAGAAGTGACGGTCTGATCTGATTAGCCAAAAAAATGCCCCATCCTCCTTACGATTGGCTCCAGGCACAATCACATGCGCAGTAAAACGAGGCAGCGTTCCAAAGAGGGCGGGAAGTGTGCTGGCCTGTCGTGAAGCCTTCTGGGAAATGGAGTCCCGGTAGGCACAGCAGTGGGCCTGTCGTCGGCAGCGCCTGCGCTGGAGTCTTCCCGCCACAGGGTAGAAGATGCGCGGGCAGCGCCACCCGCCCCAGCGCAAGTTTCCGCGGGGCAACTGAAAAGACTGAGTTCCAGGTTTCTTGGAAGACAAGTACAGAGGTGAGGGTGAAGAGGAAGGCGAGGCGGAGCGCTGGGAGGTCTCCCAAGACCCCCAACCTCAGCCCTTGCAGGGCACCTGTGACGTCAGTATAACCCTTGTGAGAGGCGGAGCTTCCCGCGGGTGAGGGTTGAGGTGGGAAAGACTCCTAGTGGTTACGATAACCCGCCTTCCCTTGCGCGGCATTTGGCGGTGGGCGTGGCTAGGAGGGGACCAAAGGGGCCTAGGAGGGTTTTGACAAACTCAGGGTCTTGGCAGCTTTGTCAGGTCTCATTCCTGTGGGGGGAGGAGCCAGAGGCGAATCGCGATCACCTAGGCAACCGCCCTTCCCGCTTTAAGACTGCAGTCTAGCCCTTAGCGCTTTTGCTAACTCAGAACTTTCTACGGAGGGCACTATACTTGATAATGGCAGATGTTCGGTAAATGTTGAATAAATAAATAAGTGGATGAATGAATTACAAAGACTAGGCCGGGGGTTGGAGCCTTGAGTCTAAGTCCAGAACTGGGCTGGTGGCTTCAGCACGCTGAGACTTTTGTTCTGTAAATATTTATTAAGGGTCTACCTGTGTAATAGGAGCTCTGGTAGCATAGTGCCTAAGGCACTTGGCTGCTAACCAGAAGGTTGGCGGTTCAAACCCACCAGCCACTCCTGGGAAGGAAGGTTGGGCAATCTACTTCAGTAGTGATACCGCCTCGGAAACCTAAGGAGTGGTCGCTATGAGTTGCAATTGGCTGGACATCAGTGAGTTTGTATTTTTTAATAGTAGTTACAAATCTGCAGTTCATTGTCAATAATTCCAAAATGCACAAAGTTGTCAAAACCAAACTTGGTGCTATTGTTGTTCTAACTTACTTGGAGGTGTGCTGGTTATTATGTTTGTGTGTCAACTTGGCTGGGCCTGGTTGAGTATAGGGGATTAGGATTTAAAGCACGTTTTTTGGAGGACACAGTTCAATCCATAATAAACCAAACCAAACGCACTGCCATTGAGTCAGATCCAACTCACAGCCACCCCTCCTTGGGTTTCCGAGGCAGTATCTCTATGGAAGTAGATTGCCCAACCTTCCTTCCGAGGAGCGGGCATCTCTCTC